CGACTACAAAAATCGTTTCACTCCAGCGCGATCTTAGGTATACTGTAGGAAAACTGAAGAAAAGTGCCAAACCCATTTTATTCAAATTTTCCATTTTCAATTTTTTCCGATTTCGACTGTAATTCCTTTGTTTATTTACCTTTTTCTCTGATTTTCTCTTCACAAAATTCCGATTTGTAATAGTGTACAAAAGTAATCAGTAAATCCCAAAGTTGAATCTGGATTTCGAAACTGTCTTCAGATCTTTCTTGTCGTCCGATTTCGTGATTATCGCGTAAGCCTCCCCAAACCCAGGTTACATTTAGTCATGTGACGTATGCATGAAAAAAAGGTGAGGTTTACTTACCTTGAATCCTAACAATTTACTTCTCGAATGACAAGTGGAGATGTCCCTAGTAACGCACGAAATCAACGTGCCAAAATCCTAATTCATATCAATTATTTAGAAACTTCGTCGAAATCCAATTTTCAAAGGTTAAGTCATAATATTTTCCTCTTAACTTCTTTTATTTATTTTTATCATATTAATATAAAAATGTATACACAAATTGACACGAATTTAAATTTAAATTTACATTGACTTATGTATGCACACACAACCCTCATTTACGTATACATACATACAAATACATAATATATGTGCACCACTCATATAAACACGCGCAAATATATATTTATATGCACACACATACTGCCCTCTATATGCGTGCTCATAAAAGACCTACCACATTTGACTATACATACAAATGGAATATATACATATATATAATCATACTCAGAGATAAACACACATACATATTAACATATTCATATGAATTATGCTTGGCGTACATAAAAAATGTGTACATATGGACACCCTTATGTACACCAAGTAAGATTATATTCATATTTATACAAGAATCCGGCATCCACATAAATGTTGATTATACATATACATATACATATACAATGAACAGTGTGTCTAATCATGATTGACAAATACTATTTTAGAGTGTGTTTGATAGAGATTTTTGGGAGGAAGAATTGATTTTTGAATAGTGAATGATGGGAAATGAGTGGTTGAAAAAGAAAAAAATATTGATGTGATGAAAAATATTATTTTATTGAAAAATGTATGGGAATGAGAATTGATTTACTATAGAAAATGAGAATCTGTACCAAACAAGCTCTTAATGCTATCAATTGAAATATCATAATTATTTTTGAAAGCAAACTCCAAGAATAGAGCAAAAGAAAATTATAAGTGCCTTACAATAAATTCTTCAAATTCAACAGAGAGGTCACGGAAGGAGTGATTTTGATATGACTGGGTAAATTCTTATATGCAAGGGGTGAGTTTCTAATTAACTAATGAGATCCATTCTTTATTCTTGTTAACTTATTTAAACTCTAATTTAATCCTATTAATTTACTAATTCATATTATATCATCCAATTATCATCCGTTCTTTAGTGTTTCATGAAGATTCTCGTCTACGTGGCTTATATGTAATATTGAACCGAACAATTCTTACCAAACATGCTACTAATATCTCATCGATTATATACAACGTTAGAAATTAAATTTTATTCTCAATCACTGGCGGACCCACATGGGATCATGTGGGGTCAAATGACCCTGCAATTTATTTATTTATTTTTTTTTTTTTTTGAGTTTTCCTCTTGAGTTTTTTATTAACCTAAACATTTTTAAATTCTCATTTTTTATCCCATAAGAAAAAAGGTCTCGGTCCGCCCCTGTTCTCAATGAATTTGGATATTATTATGTGATTTTTTTTTTTTTT